AGCCACCTCCCCACCCTATGCAGTAAGCATTCACTTAGCTGGCCTAAATTACCTTCTTACCCCCATTCCCCACAGAAAGATTACCCTAGAAGCCCTATACTTTTAATTGGCTCTGTACTGCTCTCCTCACACATCACTGTGCATCCTCCATTGTCCTCATCTCCGCAGAGTCTTCACCCTCCATAGTTGGTCCATAGGTGCAATGCAGGCATGTGACTCACATGCTACACGACAATGGTTCCAGGGGGTCCAGTGGTGGCTGGCGCAGGGTTCTGGCTTTTCTAGCAGTTTCATTGTTTCCTGTTTCAAGCAGAAACGCTGCACATACATATTCATTCCACTATGTCCACTTCAAATCAATGAACTGGTCATGGTAGTTGAAGTAACCCGTTAATAATTTTGTTTGATGTGAATAATTATATTTTCTTTAGTTATCACCTATAGTGTTATGGGCATATGCAAATCTTACAAGTTTTTAGAATGAAAAGTTGTATTTCTTAAACTGTAAATTCTGTGCTTTAATATGTTATAGTGGTAAATAGGGGAACCGACTACGGTTACAATAGGATTTGAACACATTAAGATTGAAAACATGTTGCTTACAATCTAGAACACAATTTTTATGAAAGTGAGTCCAACTTTAATATTCACTGAGACCTTCCACCGACCTCTCTTTCTCATACTTTACTTTACAGAGCATGATTCTCCATTTCTCAGATAACATCTTGATTATCTCACTGATAAGTGAGAGAGATTCCTGCTTTAAACGACACAAAATCCAAATGACACATTGGTTTTGATGAGCAGCTTTGATGAGTAGCTAAGAAAGGAATATATTTTCTGACTTAAAGGACCACTATAGTGCCCGGCTCTGGAAGGGGGAAAGGGGTAAAAACTTACCCTTTTCCAGCGCTGGGCGGGGAGCTCTCCTCCTCCGATCCTCCTCCGTTCCTCCCATGCGGCTGAATGCGCACGCGCGGGAAGAGCTGCGCGCGCATTCAGCCGGTCACATAGGAAAGCATTATTAAGCACTGTGATTTTCACAGTGAGAATCACGCAAGCGCCTCTAGCGGCTGTCAATGAGACAGCCGCTAGAGGAATTGGGGGAAGGCTTAACCCATTCATAAACATAGCAGTTTCTCTGAAACTGCTATGTTTATAAAAGAATGGGTTAAGCCTAGCTGGACCAGGCACCCAGACCACTTCATTAAGCTGAAGTGGTCTGGGTGCCTAGAGTGGTCCTTTAATAAAACTAAATTAAAGGACAACTATAAATGTAAAACTGGTGCCCAACCACATCAATATGACATAGCCATAACACTACAGACCAGCAAACAAATGGTTAAAAAAAACTAATTGCCCTGAACCTCTATTAATCAAGGTTCTCATGCTGTATGGTCTCTCCAATTTCCAAGGCTGTGGGACAGGCTATAATATGCTTGTGGCTTAGCAGACACTCTATAATATGTGAGCACTAGCTCAAATGCTTCTCCATGCATTCACCTATGTGGCAGCAGATGGACCCCTAATTATTGCCCCATTTCCTTACTCATGAGCAGTTGAGTGAGGCCTTGGTAACTATCCAATAAAAAACCCTATCTACCAGGAAGGACCTGTTTAATGTTCCCCATTGTAGTGGATAAGAATAAGTGTTATTACAACAACAAAAAAAACTGTTTTGGTAAGAGGAACTTCCCCTCAAGCCTCCCCCAAGAAAAAAAAAAAAAACTAAAACAAAAAGAAAAAACTAACCTGCAATCGCACGCAGAGTCCAAATTCTGCCTGCAACCTGACCCTTCTCTGGTGATGTCACTCTTTCTACGGAGAGAAGGACATCCCCGAAGATGGTCTGAGTGGAGGACTTGGACAGCATGGAGGGGAGGGCTATGCCAACAGTGGTCATATGTTGCTTGCATGCCAGCAGAATACAGATGCCCAATATGCATAGATGTAACATTAACCAGCCTAGAATGTGATTCCTGGGCTGGCTACTGATGCTGCAAAAGGTGGAGTTACTTCTCTGGAAGCAAAGGACTTCAATCACCAAAACACAAGTGGACGTGGTGCAATCCTACCTTAGAGACACCATTGACCTACTAAACAAATTAGAAACAATTCATTGGGAAGATGATTATGTACTGATCACTTGTGACGTACAATCATTATATACTATAATCCAGCATACAAAGGGATGTAGTGTTGTAAGAATAATTCTGGAAAAACATAATAACATGAAAGCGGAACAAACTGATTTTATAATTAAGGGAATAAACCTAATTCTTAATAACAACTACTTTTGGTTTAAAGACTCACTTTACAAGCAAAATAAAGGTACAGTGATGGGGACAAGGTTCGCACCCAGCTATGCCAATCTCTTCATGACGGAGTGGGATGAAAGAACAGTGTGGAGGGGGCATGGCTGGATGGTTACCTATTTTCGTTATATAGATGATCTTCTACTAATATGGAAAGGTCCACTTCTTGATGCAAAACATTTTATAGAATTTTTAAATCAAAATGATGATGGCATTATTTTGAAAGCTGATTTAATCCAAAACCAATGTCACTTTTTTAGACCTCGATATCTATATTAAAGACAAAAAAATACACACAAAAACTAATTTAAAAAAAGTCCACGGAAACAATTTTATTGAAACGGATAGTTGTCACTATAAGAGCTGGCTGGACAGTATTCCGAAGATCCAACTTCTTAGATTGAAGAGAAATTGTTCTGAAGATAATGTTTTTAAAATTTAGGTTAATGAAATTAAAGGGAAATTCATCGAGAAAGCTTATGATAGAAAAACAATAGATAAAACCATTGAAAAAATATCGAACATGGATAGAGAGACATTAATTAGAAGTAAAGACACAAAAGGGAAGGACGGGATTATAATAAGAATAAACAGTTAAAAAAAATAATCAGAAATAATTGGCATTTATTGAAGGAAGATGAAATATTAGTAAAAATTATTCCAGACCAACCAAAAATAATATTTAGAGGGGCCCCCAAATTTGAAAATGAAACTTACAAAGAACTACACTAAACAAAAAAATTCAAATGCACTGAATAACTTTCTAAATGATAAAAAATGCTTTTTTAGATGCAACTGCTGTAAGAAAACTAAGAAAATAGATAAACACACTCTTCACTTCAAATCAAACAATACAAACAAAAATGATGAAATTAGAGACACAATTACATATATGAGCAAGAATGTCATCTATTTATTAGAGTGCCCCTGCGGTCTACAATACGTAGGGAGAACTATAAGACCCTTGAAGACAAGGATTGGGGAACATTGCAGGAACATTGAGAAGGGCTTTAAAAATCACCTTGTATCCTCTCACTTTGAACTGCACAATAATGATCCACGTTATTTAACGTGGATCATTATTGATCCACGTTAAATGCGGAATTCGATCCGCATGCGGAATTCGATCTTTTTATGCGGAAATTCGATCTTTTAAATTTTCTATAAATCATTTTTTTTTAAATATTTTTTATATACTTTTAATGATTGCTATTAAATATTTGTATTAATCATTTTCTATACTTATGTTTTTTTTTATATTTATGCATATATTTTTTTATATGTATATACATTTTATTACAATATTTTTATCATATATATCTCTTCCCCTTTTTATCACCTCTCCCATGTGGACTACATTTATTCACAATCCACTCACTTTTTTTTAAATTCGTTATTTTTATTGTGCAGGTAGGTACATAACTTTGTCAAGACGCCACAACAGCGTAAATATATAGATGCATACAGGGTAGGTAGTGGCATGAGAGTTCGCACATTTTTTTTTTTATTATATATATTACCAAGCTTAACGTAATGAGTAGGTTTCTATAGTGGGAATTAAACAGTTTATAAAGCATGCTAACGGTGCTGGAAAACAATGTTAATTAAGTTGGTTTCATTACAGGCTAATATATCCAGCAACATATATGGCTCTATTGTTGTGAGAACAAGGCCACAACACATCGAACATGATGGCCTGCTAGCTTGTAGGCAAGGTGTGTGTATAGAACTAATGTGTTTAGGGAAGAACCATTTAAGAGGGTCTGAGCAGCGTCATTAATATTGTTAACCCCTGGGTGTCTCTGTGTAGTTTAATGTGTACTCCGCTTCAGGTAAGCGACTCGGGAGGCATAGGTAGCTTAGGCTCTAACATAGAATTACATGAAATGATATGTAATGGCATAACATGAACTTGCCCCTTAATGTGTCTTGTTCTAGCCCTGTGACCAGGGACGTCACCAGGTAAACAGTTAAACTAAGATACTGACATAGTGTCCCTGACATTTCCAGTGCTGCTTGGGCTGTGTGTATTCATGGTGGGTGGTCAGGTTCTATTTGCCGCACATGTATATATCTTTTACAGGCTTGTCAGAGTGCCCAAGACTCGTTAGTAAAAATAGGAGTAGGACAATAGTTGTGTGTATAGTTGTTCACTAACATTAGCTGTCATGTGTGATGTAAAATATATCATTAGGTACTAAGCAGGGAGTGTAGCCATGTACACTACCAATATGCCAGCTAGTCGTTATGCTATGTGTCACATGGTATTAGTTACTACTGGTCACAAGATAATGCAAAGATAATGCGGTTAACAGGGCAGAGAAATCAAATAACTCAAAGTTAATAAACAGAAGACCAAGGGAGAAAGCCCAAACTTTGGTTGCCCAGGTGATGCCAGGCTGAGTCATCCTTTGCAACTTAGCGGCTTTGAACGGGAGTCCAGCTTCACAGCTATCCTTGCGGGAGGTCCCCCCGGGTCCAGGTGCAGATGGGCTCCTGTGCCCCATTGATTTGGTAAGTGCCGTTCTGTCTACCCTAATGGGGGCTGGCAAAATAGAATATTCCTTGCAGGCTCTCACCTGGCTCTATTAACGTGTTTGTGCTGGTGATGCAGTCCCTAGAACAGCATGTTGAGGCCATCGGGTGCTGGCAGCCTGCACATCAGGTCTGTGTAGCTGTCCTCATTCAGCCGATGCCGACCTTGTAGGCCTGTTGGTGGCTCCGGGTGTGAAGGCGTGGGGAGCTTCCCAGCAGGATGTCGTCTGCGATAAGCCGTGTGAGAGTCTTCTCGCCAAGCCTCTGTGTATGTAGTGTGCCGGTCAGACCTTCTTGCCAGAGCGGAGTTCGGGCAGTGCGTAGACGGAGAAGGCATGTGGTTAGTCCAGGTAGGCCTGCGGGGTATTGCAAGTAATTGCTTCGTGTGGTGAGTTGTGGCCGCTGGGTTCCAGGTGGAAAGTAGCTCCGAGGTAGGCTTTCACCTTCTGGGAATCCATTCAGGTGGGTATGTGCGCCTCTTGGCCCGGCACGTCTCCCGCCTCGCCGCCATGTTAGGCCTCGGCTGGGTGTCGTTGCTGTGGTAATTTGCTTTGTAGCGGGGGTCGGCTTGTGCCAAGAGTGGTCACCCGACTGGTTCCGGGCAGGCTTGTGCTGCTTACTTGCCAGTTTGCGCCAGAGTTGGCCCTGTGAGCGCCGAGTTGAGTGTGCGGTAGCCATTTTGTGTTCTCCTCGTGGTCGCTTTGATGGATGAAGTCCATGTGTAATATCGGCATGCTGTTGCATGCGCCTTTCAAGCTTCTGCCAAAAAGCTGTAAATATTGCTTCCAGCTTTGTTGTGTAGTCAGCCTGCTCCGCATGACATTCTGCAGGTTTTTCTGTACTCTCCCTGAGTCGACCAGGATCTCTCATGGCAGTGGTCCCAGGTGTACTCTGTGTCCGGTGGGTTGCAGGCTGTGTTGTGGGGGTGATCGTCCCCAGCGAGGACCGGGATGACCCCCACCGGTCCAGAGGGGGGGTAGCAGAGCTGTTTCAGGTGTGTGAGCGTGCCCCCCGCCGGGAGATCGGCCGTCTCCCCAAGGCTTCAGGCTCCGCTCTGGCTTAGGCCGCATGGCCGGTTCAGGCAATTTCGTCTTGTTTTGGGCCGGGACAGGTATCATCCTGTTCCCCGGTTTTTCCTTAGTTCTTTCTGGTCACTGTGGGTCGGTAGCGTTGGTAGTTTATCCAGGATTGGAGTTTATGAGCCCACCGGTGCTGGAGCTCTTAGAAAACACGGCCGACCATCTTGGTTGTCAGGCTCCGCCCCCAATCCACTCACTTTTAATGTATATGTTGCTGCTATATACTATTATGGTCTGTACACAAATTTTGTATCATATGCTGCTATTGGAATATAAACATGTTTCAATCATATGCTGCTGTTGGAATTTAAGGATTTATTTACAGCTGGATAATTATGTCACCAGCCTGCAATATCTTTCATAATACATTATATATGCATATATGTTCTATTTAGATTGTTAGATTTTGTATAAGGCCAGTAAGTACTCTACCTGTCATTTATTGATATACGTTTATCAATATAATAATTTTATTCTGTCTAACATCCCTCATGTTGTGGATGCAAAGTTCGTTCCTAATACAAAGTAGTGGAGAGATATCTGTTTGTGCCCACTCTCCCTAGTTTCTGGCATTTCCAGGTCTAATATGTATTTATTTAATATTGCATTATCCACTCTGGTGATGCCCAAGGTTTTATTTATTTGACGAATCGAGAAGCTGATAGTTATAGATCATTGCACTATAATACTACATTTCCCATCTATAACCGAGAGTTGCGCTACTTCACTTCCGGGAGGCGCGCGCAACCGTCGGCAGCCACAGCTATACACGGACTACATGTCCCATCAATCCTCACGTATCGCGATGCGTCATTTCCGGTCGACACGCGCGACTCCGACGGAAGCAGGAAGAGTGCACACACCGGATCATTATGAATTTATTGTGATTACCTATATAATGTGGACAATTATACATACGGAGTAATGCTTCTGAAGAAGCCCAAGCCCGGGCAAAACACGTTAAATTTAATTAAGAGAGAGATGGAAGCTTATTGTTGCTCTTTTTGTTTTTATATTCAAATTTTAACTATTTGTGTAGAAATAAAGATACAGCTTTTACCTACTCCTCTCTATTTGTTCCTGGTGCACAATTGAATCCTGCTTATATCCTTTGGTGGGGATTATACCACCATATGCTCTCATCACCAGAGCAAGATTTTGCTCTGGAAATTGTAAGTAGGATATCTACTTTTTATTTTATTATATCACATTGTACATACCATACCATTGGATTTTGTGTTTTGCTCTTGTTTTTATACATATATGGCTGTGGAGAATGGGACACCATATTCCAGTATATATATCCTAAAACGGGGATTGTACCGTCCAGGCGCTATACGGCAGAGCTCTTAGCAGCTCTGCAAAGTGTGAGTTAGCACTTTTACTGGTTCTCTGCTTACTGTATAGACTATACCATTTATTGACAATCTGCACTATCATTGTTTTGTATTTTGTTTCTTTTAAGGGTGTATGCACCACCATAGTAGCAGAAAAACTTGTATGTATGTAATCCGTTTATTGCACTCCGTACACTTTAAATACGTTTGTGGCGCGGTATACCACCTTTGTCTTTGCACTTTATAGATGTAACATTAACCAGCCTAGAATGTGATTTCTGGGCTGGCTACTGATGCTGCAAAAGGTGGAGTTACTCCTCTGGAAGAAAATGACTTCAATCACCAAAACACAAGTGGACATGGTGCTTGGCTTTTTCCTTTAAAATTAGAGATGTCATTTGTCCTGGCAAATGTGCTAACAAATATAATAAAACATAATGCCCTATTTCCTCTAATGCCCAAAATAAATCTGTCGCTGAAGGATTGAGGAACTTTGTTTTGTTGTATGAAATGCCAGGTCTTTTCGGTGCTAAATGTTCGGCATTCACCAAGATACTCTTGATTACAATTGTAGTTTGAGTCTGAATTTTTGTTTCAATCGCCTTTATTACAGACTTCCTTCTGTAGTCAATTTAGATCTTATTAATGTTCATCAGTTCCCACTATATCTGTATGTGTACATGTGGTTAATGTCTTTTGCCCAATTACTTCATACTTCATACATCTTTAGAAACATAGAAACATAGAAACATAGAATGTGACGGCAGATAAGAACCATTCGGCCCATCTAGTCTGCCCAATTTTCTAAAAACTTTCATTAGTCCCTAGCCTTATCTTATAGTTAGGATAGCCATATGCCTATCCCATGCATGCTTAAACTCCTTTACTGTGTTAACCTCTACCACTTCAGCTGGAAGGCTATTCCATGCATCCACTACCCTCTCAGTAAAGTAATACTTCCTGATATTATTTTTAAACCTTTGTCCCTCTAATTTAAGACTATGTCCTCTTGTTGTGGTAGTTTTTCTTCTTTTAAATATAGTCTCCTCCTTTACTGTGTTGATTCCCTTTATATATTTAAATGTTTCTATCATATCCCCCCTGTCTCGTCTTTCCTCCAAGCTATACATGTTAAGATCCTTTAACCTTTCCTGGTAAGTTTTATCCCGCAATCCATGAACCAGTTTAGTAGCCCTTCTCTGAACCCTCTCTAAGGTATCAATATCCTTCTGAAGATACGGTCTCCAATACTGTGTACAATACTCCAAGTGAGGTCTCACCAGTGTTCTGTATAATGGCATGAGCACTTCCCTCTTTCTACTGCTAATACCTCTCCCTATACAACCAAGCATTCTGCTAGCATTTCCTGCTGCTCTATTACATTGTCTGCCTACCTTTAAGTCATCAGAAATAATCACCCCTAAATCCCTTTCCTCATATGTTGAGGTTAGAACTCTATCAAATATTCTGTACTCTGCCCTTGGGTTTTTACGTCCAAGATGCATTATCTTGCACTTATCCACATTAAATGTCAGTTGCCACAATTCTGACCATTTTTCTAGTTTACCTAAATCATTTGTCATTTGGCTTATCCCTCCTGGAACATCAACCCTGTTACATATCTTAGTATCATCAGCAAAAAGACATACCTTACCATCAAGACCTTCTGCAATATCACTAATAAAAATATTAAAGAGAATGGGTCCAAGTACAGATCCCTGAGGTACCCCACTGGTGACAAGTCCAAGCTTCGAATATATTCCATTAACTACAACCCTCTGTTGCCTGTCACTCAGCCACTGCCTTACCCATTCAACAATATTGGAATCCAAACTTAAAGATTGCAGTTTATTGATAAGCCTTCTATGTGCAACAGTGTCAAAAGCCTTACTGAAATCTAGGTAAGCAATGTCTACTGCACCACCCTGATCTATAATTTTAGTTACCCAATCAAAAAAATCAATAAGATTAGTTTGGCATGATCTCCCTGAAGTAAACCCATGTTGTCTCTGATCTTGAAATCCATGTGTTTTTAGATGTTCATCAATCCTATCCTTTAACATGGTTTCCATCACTTTCCCCACTACTGAAGTAAGGCTTACTGGCCTATAGTTGCCCGACTCCTCCCTATTACCTTTCTTGTAAATGGGCACAACATTCGCTAACTTCCAATCTTCTGGGACTACTCCTGTTAACAATGATTGGTTAAATAAATCTGTTAATGGTTTTGCTAGTACACCACTAAGCTCTTTTAATAGCTTTGGGTGTATTCCATCAGGTCCCATTGACTTATTTGTCTTTACTTTTGCCAGTTGAAATAGAACCTCTTCCTCTGTAAACTCACGTGTAATAAATGACTCATTTATCCTTTTTCTCAACTGAGGTCCCTTTCCTTCATTTTCTTCTGTAAATACAGAACAAAAATATTCATTGAGGCAGTCAGCCTGACCTTTATCCTCTTCTACATACCTTCCTTCTTTTGTTTTTAATCTAACTAATCCTTGTTTTACTTTTCTTTTCTCATTTATGTATCTAAAAAATGTTTTATCCCCCTTTTTTACTGTCTGTGCTATTTTCTCTTCTGTGTGTGATTTGGAAGCTCTTATAACTTGCTTAGCCTCTTTCTGCCTAATCTTATAGATCATTTTGTCTCCCTCACTCTGGGTTTTTTTATAATTCCTAAATGCTAACTTTTTGTTTTTAACTATTTTGGCCACATCTGCGGAGTACCACAGTGGTTTCTTGAATTTTTTGCTTTTACTGACAAGCCTAATGCAATTTTCTGTTGCCTTCAATAGTGCAACTTTTAAATAATCCCATTTTTCTTGGACTCCATTTAAATTGCTCCAGTCTGATAATGACTCCTCTACCCATATTCTAATTTTAGAAAAGTCTGTTTTTCTAAAGTCTAAAACTTTTGTTTTTGTGTGGTGTGACTCAGTCACTGTTCTTATATTAAACCACACTGACTCATGATCACTGGATCCTAAACTTTCACCTACAGTAACATCTGATACTAAATCTCCATTTGTTAACACTAAATCTAGTATGGCCTCTTTACGAGTTGGCTCCTCAACAACTTGTTTTAGAGACAAACCCAGTAGGGAGTTTAGAATATGTGTGCTCCTGGCACAAGTAGCTAATTTTGTTTTCCAATTTACATCAGGAAGATTAAAGTCACCCATGATGATAACTTCCCCCTTCATTGTCATTTTAGCTATTTCCTCAACTAGTAGATTATCTAACTCTTCAATTTGTCCTGGGGGCCTATAAATCACACCTACACGAGTTACTGTGTGATTACCAAATTCTAACGTAGCCCAAACGGACTCTATGTTTGCCTCACTAACTTTTATTAGGCTAGATTTTATGCTATCCTTCACATACAAGGCCACCCCTCCCCCTTTCTTGCCTTCCCTATCTTTCCTATATAAAGAGTACCCTGGTATTGCTA